ATTTGGAAATCCGACAGTATTTCTTACGACGGTACTTAAAGATATTATTTCCATCTATTATGATAAGGCATATATTTAAAAAAATATGTTTCGCGATCTTCACGATTTTAACGTTTTAATTGGCCCATTTGGGTCCAAATAACATGGATTTGAAGAGTGCACACCAATTTTTTTCCCGGCACAACTTTTGGCAGCCAAAAAACCTCAAAATTTTTGGCATTTTTTTAGTTTTTCGCTTAAAACTCGAAAACGGTCTATATTTTATGAATAATACTTCTTTAGTAAAGTATAGAAAACAAAATTATGCGTCGATAAAAAAAAACAAACAAAATCGGTCCAATAGAAAAATTTTTACAAGCGATCAAAAAACGCCCATTTTTTCCAACTTTTCTAAAGAACTGAGTTAACCTTTTTTTAATGCGTTGTGGCTCCTAAAGGAACGATAAAATCCACTACCCCCCTCCCTAAAGATTGTAGAACATCAATCAGAGTTCAAAAAGTACCAACAATTTAAAATTGGACCAATTTTTGAAATTCGTTGGAAAAAATGGGCATTTTTTTGATCGCTTGTAAAAAATTTTCTATTGGACCGATTTTGTTAGTTTTTTTTTATCGACGCATAATTTTGTTTTCTTTAATTTACTAAAGAAGTGTTATTCATAAAATATGGACCGTTTTCGAGTTTTAAGCGAAAAACTAAAAAAATGCCAAAAATTTTGAGGTTTTTTGGCTGCCAAAAGTTGTGCCGGGAAAAAATTTGTGCGTACTCTTCAAATACATGTTATTTGGACCCAAATGGACCATTTAAAACAATAAAATCTTTTACACCACCTTTTGCAGGTCAAAATTATCTGCATACTGGACTAAGAGTAAGTCTTCGTGAAAATTATCTATTTCAAAAAATTCGACCAAAAGCAAAAGATGCACATGCCCTTTGCTTTCCATAAAGTTGCGCCCAATAGATAACAAATGACACATAGGCATTTTTTCACTTATTAGCGGAACATAAACATAGGAAACGTCGTGGTATGTTATATAAAAGAAACGCTACCGATATAAATACAATTCCCCTTTTTAGTTAAATTCCTAAGCGGGATACGATAGCTAATGGCCGACACTGACAATTTTATTTAAAACAAAGTGTCACTGTTTTGCTCATGTAAAGTTAAGTTAGTGAAAGTGGTGGATATAAAAAAATTCTTGCACTTTTAAAAAAATTCGACTATTTATCTTTCTCTTTGAGAATACCTTTTGATGGAGTCCCACAAACTTCACATCAACTTGACGAATTTTTTTCAAATTTCCAATACTATGTAGCGACAGGAACCGGTAAATATTTACTACTACCTACTTCTTTTTTCAATATGGACTGATATCAACTTTATCAACAGGAATATTTGACCCTCAAAAAATAGGAGGATCAAGTAAATTTTATTTTTACCATTGAATTCAGGGCAAAAAAGTGAAGTCATCTTACCGCACACAAGATGTTCGGAAAAATTCTCCATGGATCGTGCATAGATATAAATAAGTAATACGCTAAATGTACAATTGTTATTAATTTTTGAAAAGATAAGGATTTATTTAGAATCAGTATAAATATTATACTTTTAATCATTGTTTTTATGAAAAACATATAATTTTTTTTTTGTTCACCCTTGTATATAAGTAAAGAAAGATTTATTTTAGGTGTTCGAAGTGCCGGTTTTTTTAGGATCTATCATACCTAAGTGAATTCATTCATGCACATGTACCTAATAACTATAAAAATCTATAAATTAGTAAAAATGATTATTCATTATAGAAAAATGCAGTAAATGCATTGAATAAGTAATTCAACGGTAACAGAAATAGGTATTTGTGCATCTCCAGTCAAATATTGTACAGCTTTTCGATAAACTTGTTTACATAACTATAGTAGGGGAGCTAGCACGAAATCCACTGAACGAGAATGATCAAAATTTTAACCGATGGAGTTCCATTTTGCCCTATCAGAGTATGCTAAAATCGATCGTCTGCCGCCTTATATCATTATACATGGTCTATTGTTAGTACGGTACGGTGTACATCGTTGGTTTCACTCAAGATCATGTAGCAGTGTGTATTGTTGGTGGTCTAACCAATTGCAATAACACTGAAATACAAATTGACTACAGAGGAGCCTTAAGAAAGTCATCCAGTGCTTGGAGACTCCAGAAGAAAGCGCAGTGGACTTCTTTCGAGGGACCGTCCGTAGTTATCTTATGAGTCAGAGGATACTACTGTATCGATACTCCACGCACTCTGAAGTCGAATCCGCCCAGCAAGTCACGAACATAGTCAAAGAGTATCACGCCGCCTCTGCGGCAGGACACTATGGAGGTGATCGCACCCGTACCCGGATTTCCACCCGATACTTCCGGGTGGGAATGAGAAAGTATATCAACGACTACGTCCACAACTGTCCAGACTGT